TGAAATTGTACTCCAAGCGACTTTCATAATATAAATATTATTAAGGAGGTGGGGGGAGGGTAGTGAGGGGGTGCGCGATAGACTTACCTCCACGTGGTGCCCTATGGACAACGTATACTCATTCGACAAAACAGGTCTATAAATAGACAGTTGACTACCATGACTTGGCTATATGTCGTATTCCACCAATTCTACAGTACTCACTTCACCTTACCCTTTTCTATACCTTTGTGTATGCCAATTTTACATTGGTGAATCACTCCTCTGCCCCCTCTCGACTTTTCGTGACTTTAATGTTCCTCCGCTCTGTGATAACTATCATAAAGCCTGCCATTTGATATAAATATATCATTAAAGAGGAGAACCGTGGATTATATATCTGTTTCTTTACTTATCCTAAAATGGAGTGTGCATTGGCAATCCTGATAAATATTGATTATTGCATAAAGTAATTATGCATATTTGTGACTCTGATCACCACCTTAAACTATCAGATAGGATACTCAGAGCATTAAGGAACTAATCAAAAGCTCCTTGTGAATAAAGACCCTCTCCAAGAGACACTTAGGGTCCAATTCCATTCTGCTCAGAATGGAGGATTGAATGCATCTGTTTTGCACTGCAAGTGTTGGGTTTTATTTTTGAAGTGAAGAGCATAATCAATATGCTCTCCATGTTAGCAAAGCAGATTTAACTGGAATAAATCCCAGTCAATTTTCAATACATGAGAAGTAGGTTGAAAGGGAATGCAAAAAGCAGGTGGCATGTTGTTAATGCGCCAACAAGAGGTGAGAGACAATCAATTGGAAATCGATATATGTAGATTAAATTTGACAAGATTCTTAAGGAGTGAGTAAATTATACAGATTTAAACAAGAATGGAAGGCTTTAAGTTTTCTGTGGGAGGATAAACAAGTTATCAACGAAACAACATTCTATTAAATTAATAAATAGTGTGAGGCAATTTTTTTGTTCGATTAAATTAGATCCACATGAGCTTATCCCTTATTAAATTTTAAAATAAATTACACTAGAGTCTGAAATGAAGAAATTCTAAGTTCTGTTAGCGGTTTCAGCAATATTCAAATTACAAATGGACGCTTAAGAATAAACCAATTCGTAGGTTCGCGTGTTACGCAGTGATAGTAGTGGCCCAGACCAAAAGACATAATAAACTTTCAATGAACTTGCCTGTTTTTTATTCAAATAATTAATGAATGTTGGAAAAGAAAAAAATATCTTCTTCCTACACGGTTAACTCAAATATTTATTCATTAGGGTACAACAATGGACCCATTGTTCTAACCACGGTCTCGCATAATATGCTAATCAAGAACTAAACATTTGATTACCTTCTCAAAGGAAATATATAAAAGACGACAAAATCGCGAATTCCAACCAAATGATAAATATAAAGAAAGCATTAATTGAAAGTGAAATGCGAGAAAAACAATTATTGTTCAATTATTCGCTTAGCATGATGTTTCCTTGAAGTCTTTGGATTGATCTGAGGTTGTGGCTCCTCGATGATTTCTGAGACATTTTCAATCGAACGTCATAGGATGCTGATGGTTTTCCGTGCGATCACTCATTACATCTTAATCGTTCTGTTTAAAGAAGACTACCTAGGCGACATCAACATAAACCCACAGAGCCTTCGTCAGATTAGTATGCTGGTGTATACTGACTCGAGGAAATGGACAAATTACCTATTCATCTGACAGTCACATGCAAATACCTTGGGATAACTGCATGTGTCTTGACTCCGTCTCTCTCTCTCTCTGAGCTAATAGACAATTAGTGGGTGGATGTACCATAGCTGCAGGACTAGATCTCCAGGCGCTTCTACGGCATAGAGGAGACGCACTTTATAAGAGTAATCTAGAGGATATTGATTGCCAATCAGTAGTTGACACCTTCGAACGAAGGAACTCATGAGAAATGTCAACGATGGCGCACTTTGAAGATGAATATATATATATATATATATATATATATATATGGCATTGAGGAGAACAACATGAAAACTAAAAAATATTGAGTTCGACCTAATTACATTATACCCAAGTGGCGTTGCCGTCAACGTTTGCGTCTGCAATTCCCACAGGTGTCTGTTCTGTGGCGTGAATGACCAACGGTTTGGTTGGGAAATGTAAATTTATCATCAAAGGGGCCTCCAAGACACTCTATCTACGCTTGGAAAGGTTTGATTTTTAATTCTTTCAGTTTCTAAAAGTAAACTTCTGTATAACTATGAAAAATTGGATAAGCGCTCAATGCAAACTGTGTGAGATTTTTAAGCTTACTATTGGATAAATTGAAAGAAATATATATGCAACTTTTTCCTAAAAATATTATAAAGAAGTGCAAAGTTGTATGGTTTAACTACCGACACTAAAAACCCTTTCTAAAAGTAATTTTTTTGGTTAAAAATGTAATGCACTCAAAATTGTATTCAAAACCCATCCACCAGAAAAATGACATTTAGAAACCCTTTAGAAAAGAATACTTGCCTATTTAAACTTCCTTCAAATGATCAAAACTTCAATTTTCACATGGAGCTATTATGATTTTGTTTATTGATTTACTACCAATTTCTGCCCACCCCACGAGGGTTTCACTCACTTCTACCTATGACTCATCCCTTTTCATAACACGTCGCATATCGAGTTATTTCGGCATTGTATCCACTTTTTCATCTTTATGCCTCATGCGTTCAAGCCGTCGGTGAAGGAGAATGAAGAATATTCAAGAGATAATTTCAAGGCTTATTGCCTCTGTGAACGCTTTACTTGAACAAAAAATACTCGCACAGTTCTTTTTATTGGTCTCCAATTTCTAGATTGGTTAACTTTTATTTGGATTGTAATTATTCCCCATGCGCTCATAAATTAAATCCACAGTAACGAAATCAGTCACGAAAAGTGAATACTGTCGATCCATTTAAGTCCACTTCTACACGACGAAGTGGGACATCACCACTCCCAAAGTTCAAATCTGTGGCGTACGCAATCTATTTATTTATTAATATCAGATGGCAGGCGTTTTGATAGTCATCATAAGCCTTTTAATTGGCTTCAGGGTTTACAGAGAGGAGGAGGAACATCAAAGTGACAAAAGTTGAGAGGGGGAACAGAAGAGTGATTCACAGATGTAAAAGTCGAGAGGGGGACAGAATAATGATTCACAGACGTACCGAGAGGGGGACAGAATAATGATTCACAGACGTAAAAGAGCAAGATGGGGGACAGAATAATGATTCACAGACGTAAAAGAGAAGGGGAGGGGGGACAGAATAATGATTCACAGACGTAAAAGAGACAGAGCAGACACAAAGGTAGAAAAAAGGTGAGTTGAATACTGTGGAAGGGTTGGGATCAGAAGAGCGATTCACAGATGTAAAAGAGGCAGACAGAACAGAAGAGCGTTTCACAGATGTAAAAGAGGCAGACAGGGAAACAGAAGAGCGATTCACGGATGTAAAAGAGGCAGACAGATGACAGAAGAGTGATTCACAGATGTAAAAGAGACAGACAGAAGACACAAAGGCATAGAAAAGGTAAGATGAGTACTGTGGAAGGAGTCGAATATCACAAATAGTCGGGTCATAGAAGTTTGAAGTCAGAAGTCAACTGCCGATCAACAGGCTTTTTTGCCGTACGAGTATACGTTGCCCAGGTTGCACCACGTGGAAGTAAGTCTATTGGGCACCCCAGCGTGCGCAAACTACACACGATAAAATGCGCACTCGAACATTCTGGGGGGTGCGTCAGTGCGTGCAGAGCTCCGCTCAGATATTTAACTATTAATGTTCACTCAAATTTTGCTATATTTATTAGATAACTAATCAGGTTTGCTAATATCAAAATTTGCAGTTAACGTTTCGATTGCAACACACCTTCCTTCTCTCTTTCATCACGATAGCCTTCCGGACGAGGAAGATCTGCCCTAGAGGTTTCTTATATAGTGTAGCAAATCGATTACAAATCAAACCTTCCATCGATGAATTCAAACCTCTTTAGCCAGCTTGAACTTCTACACAACTTTCCACTCACTCACACCTCTGTGGGCCTTGCACTCAATAATGTATTTCAAGCAGCAATCTCTCCATCTTCTCCATCCAGCTCCCATAAGAAGAATTGATAAAAGTAAAAAGAATAGCTACAGAATACCTAGAGTCCAGAGTGTTAAAAAAGCTGCGAATTCATCTTCTAAGCTTCATCACTAAGGGTGTTTTACAATGAATTTGCTACCCTTTCGACAGTTTCCGTATACCGCCTTTACTTAGTGCATTTCGCGCTTCAGTATAAGAAAAGTGTATTTGAGTATTAATTTTAAATTTGCACCAACCCATCTTTTTTCACGCCTTGGTCTACCTCAAAATTAGATAACACTGGCTGATATTCATCCATTGATATTCTAATTGGGGTGCGCAATAGATTTTCCAACTCGTGGTGCATCCTGGGCAACGTATACTTATACGGCAAAAAAGTCTGTTGATCGGCAGTTGACTTCTGACTTCAAACTTCTATGGCCCGACTATTTGTGATATTCGACTCCTTCCACAGTACTCATCTTACCTTTTTATGCCTTTGTGTCTATCTGTCTGTCTCTTTTACATCTGTGAATCACTCTTCTGTTCCCCACCCCTCGACTTTTTGTCACTTTGATGTTCCTTCTCCTCTCTGTGAAGCCCCGAAGTCAGCTCCAAGGCTAATGATAACTATCAAAATGCCTGCCATTTGATATAAATAAATATTTCAATTTGGGAATGACGGCAGCTCACTGTTGAGTACATCTAAGCTCATCAGAGTCGGGGTTCAAATACATGCTGGAGCTGGGTTTCGCCAAAGATAAGGTAAAATTTAAAGCATGCAAGATTCACCCAGTTCAGTTACTTATTAACTGGAAATTTAAACTAGGCAAAGAAACTTAGTTGTTCTCAACTAAATTTGACTGGTATTCAATTTTTTGGGTATTCCCAAAATTCTTTGCAAATCATGGGCGATTTAGATGACTTACTCGACGTATGGGCGGATAATCTCGAGGAGAGTGTTATAAAGATGCGAGATATGATTGAACGCGCTGCTTTCATTTTTATAGATGCTGAATTCCCAGGAGTTGTTGCCGAAGTGGAGGGCTCATTTGTTGACTACATTGATGTGGACTACCAAGATAAGAGAGAGAATTCTAATTTAATGCATCCGATTCAATATGGTTTTGCATTTTTTGGTGAGGACAAATGTCGCATTGAAGGCACCTGTGCCATTCAGTTCAATTTCAAGTGGGATAAAGACGTGGACACTTGCAGTCAAAATTCGGTGGAATTTCTAGAGGATAAAGGATTTGATTTCGCAAAGTTAAGTGTATTTGGAATTGAATATGCTGAATTTGCAGAAGCCATTATTGGCAGTGGGCTTGTATGTAATCACAAAGTTACATACGTTGGATTTCAATGCGATTATGATATAGTTTATTTATTGAAACTTTGCTCCGGTTTAACGAGACTGCCTATGAATTATCCTGATCTCTTCCGGATAATGGAAATATATTTTCCATGCGTATATGACTTTCGATACGTGGCGATCAGTCAAAGGTACTTCACTCGTTTGGTTAAAATAGGTGAACTGTTTGGCGTAGTGAGTAGTGGAAGGAATCATCATGCTGGTGCTGATGCTTTATTTACCGGTGACGTGTACTTTCGATTCCTTGAAAAATTTAAAGATTTCGACCTGCCGAGAATTAAAAATTATATCTACGGGTTAACTGCTGTGGGCTATCGTGGCAGATTTCGCGTTTGTTACGGGCCCTGAGCTTTGTTAATTGCTGCTTTTACACCCTTGTAATTTGTTATGCTAAATGTTAAGCAATACCATCTTCTCTCCATTGTTGTTTGAGTTAATCATTTGTACAAAAGTGGGTGTTTTGTAATCAACAGAGGAAGGAGGAGCACACTTTTAAGACTCATTTAATCATAGTTTTAGCGATAGAAATATTTAATGAGGGTGTATTATACTTGAAATTTTATCAGTTAGTTTCGATCATACATAGGCTACTATTTAAACTTATACTGAGAGAGGATATCAAAATCATAAGGTTGAGTGAATAACATTGGAGAGAAAGTGAGTACACAGAGGAATGTAATATCAAATGGAAGGCGTTTTGATGGTTATCATTAGCCCCCTAGTTGACTTCAGGCTTCACAGAAGGGAAGAAACACCAAAATGAAAAAAAAACTTGAGAGGGGAGGGGAGGAAGCAGAAGAGTGTTTCAAAGTTGTAAAAGAGACAGACACAAAGGTAGAAAAAAGGTGAGGTGAGTAATGTGGAAGTAGGCGAAATGACATACAGTGGGGTGATGGTGGTTTGAAGTCAGAAGTCAACTGCCGGTTAATAGACTTTTTTGCCGTATGGGTATACGTTGTCCAGGGCACAACACGTGGAGGTAAGTCTATCGCACACCCCAGAACCATCAACATTGGTATGTATTAATGAATATTTTTCTTATTTTTATCCATCAATTAATTATATTTAACCGATTTTTATACTGGTAATAGTCGGTATTGTGGAGCACACAACGTCATGATATACAAATAATCTTATGGGCACCCAGA